GCAACGGATAGAAGAACTATGATAAAGCTCCAACTATTGTGACTTTTGGTGTCAATGACACAAACAACATTCCAAAGAAGGTGAAGTAGAGCTGTGTGCAGAAGATGGAATAGAAGTACCACAAAACCTTATATACTGATCCATAATAGCCAATCATGGGATATGCGATCATTCCAAACAACAGAGTTTGGATAAATAGATAGGGTACCTTAGCTGCCACCTGCAGAATATTTACACCCTCCTTATTTACTATAAGCTTTATCGAGAACCCATAAAACTAGCAACTTAGCTCAAAGAGAGAAAATAAAAAAGTTCATTTTAACTTATGATGCGTAAGAGAACGTACCTGTGCTAGTGCATAAGCCCAATAAGAGTACATCCCTGCAAATTTTTCTCGGTACATAACAACCCTCTCTGTGGCAACAAATGGTTAGATAGATGAGCTGTTGTTCATCCCCAGAAAGATCACAGCAAAGTACATTGAACCGAAAATATTGGACAAATTTTGCAGTCTATTTCTGGAAATTTAAAGAAGAAAAGAAGATAGAAAGATGATGTTAGCAAAGGGAAAGTAATGCACCAGTGCTTGAGCTCACAGCGATGGAGAAGTGGGCCTAAAGCAAAGATCTTGGGGAGGTGAATGTGTGGCTTCTTTTGAAGAAATCTATGGTTGTCCGATGATGAGGATGAAGAGTGGCCTTGCTTTGAAGGTAAGATAAGCTAAGATGAAGAGTTAATATCCTACATCGTTTATTTTTGGGGGAATAAGGGGTAAAGTCAGTGTATAAAAGGGGGAAGGGTTTCAGCAAATGAAATTAAAATCCGTCGAGCTTGAATCGAGTTTGAATCGAGCTTGAATCGAGTTTGAATCGAGCTTAAATCGAGTTTGAATCGAGCTTGAATCGAGTTTAAAATTGAGCTTGAATTGAGCTTGAATCGGGTTTAAAATCGAGCTTCAGTCGAGTTTGAGTCTCGAGCTTCAATTGAGCTTTTAATATTTTTTGAATTCGAGCCTTTTCGAGTTCGAGTCGAGTTTCAATAATATATTTCGAGTTCGAGCTGAGTTTGATAATTTTTAGCTTGCGAGTTTTCGAGTCGAGCTTGTTCATATAATTTTCGAGTTCGAGTCGAGCTTGTTCATATAGTTTTAGAGTTCGAGCCGAGCTCAGCAATACTCGAACTCGACTCGACTCGTTTATACCCCTAGCTGCTCCATTGAAACTATATTATATATATATATATATATATATATATATATATATATATATTGGAATTAACTATATATCTTTTTCTTACAACTGCCATTATTTTTTAAATCATATAAAAAATATTTTCTGCAGTGAATGGGAAAGATTGTGACAGTTTGCCAGCCCTAACTTAAGCTAATTGAATTGCAATATAAATAACTATTTTTTAACTCAGCTACATACCTTTCCATTAACCATTTCTTTTAATTACAGAACACACTGTCTGGTCTTGTTTTACTAATTATTATTTTCAATATATTTAGTTATTAATTGATCTAAATGGTTTAATAATTGAATTTGACATTCTACTCCCTATCTTCTTCCATTTCTCACCCATCTTATATAATGATCCTAATCTCCGATTTAATCTCTTCAAGATACTCGCAAGATTTCCCGGTTGTTTAAACCATTAACAAAGGAAGAAAAGCAAAAGCCACAGGGCTCTGCTTCGTTCTCACGCGTTTCCCGTGGTGCAGCAGGATCCTATATCTCATCTGTTTCAGTTCGAATCGAACTTCAATTCCCCAGATCTGTCTCAGGTTCTTCCTCCAATCTTCTTTTCTTCTTTATGAGTCTTTTACTCTAATGGGTTTTGTTTGTAGATATGATTTTGCCATTTCTTAATTTGTTCAGTAGTCTGATCTATTAATGAATAATTCTTTGAGTAGTTTTTGTTGAAAATCCCATCTTTTGATGTTTTCAGTTTTTGGTTTGGCCTTTTGCTATATGGATCTACTGCTTTCACTTTGATTCAATGAGATTATTTTATCCGCTGACATCTTTGTTTTCTTCTTCTTCTTTTTTATAATTATTTAATTAATGTTGAGTTAGGGATTAATTTGTATGTTAACTGGTTGCTGATTTTTTCTTCCCTTTTTGTGTAGGATTCTTCTATATCGGAGCTTAAGGTTGCAGTAGCTTAGATTAGTGCCGTGTTCTGCAAGATCTGCTATTATCATGGCTTTCTCAGAAAGGGAGATGCCTAGAGTTTGCTGGGTTTTTATGTTACTGCTTCCCTTTGCTCACTTTTGTTATGGGTTTTACCTTCCGGGAAGTTACATGCACACTTATTCGACTAAGGATACTATTTGCCAAAGTTAATTCTTTGACTTCCATTGAAACCGAGCTTCCTTTTAGTTATTACAGTCTCCCTTACTGCAAACATCTTGGTGGAATAAAGAAAAGTGCCGAGAATCTTGGTGAACTTCTGATGGGAGATCAGATTGATAACTCCCCTTATCGGTTTCAAATGAATGTGAACGAGTCCCTCTACCTTTGCACTACCAGCCCCTTGAATGAGCATGAGGTTAAGCTTTTGAAACAGAGGACTCGAGATTTGTATCAAGTGAATATGATTCTAGACAATTTACCGGTGATGAGGGTTGCGCAACAAAATGGGGATAACATTCAGTGGACTGGATTCCCGGTTGGGTATTCTCAACCAAATAGTGATGATGATTACATTATCAATCATCTCAAATTCAAGGTTTTGGTTCACGAATATGAAGGAAGTGGCATGGAGATAATTGGAACTGGGGAAGAAGGGCGGGTGTGATTTCTAAAGCTGATAAGAAGAAAGCCTCTGGTTTTGAGATTGTTGGTTTTGAGGTGGTTCCCTGCAGTGTTAAATATGATCCCGAAGCCATGACTAAACTTCACATGTATGAAAAAGTCTCTCCTGTGAACTGCCCCTTGGGGATAGACAAGTCACAGATAATAAGGGAACACGAGAGGATCTCTTTTACTTATGAGGTTGAATTCGTTAAAAGTGATATTAGATGGCCATCTCGGTGGGATGCTTACTTGAAGATGGAAGGTGCACGTGTGCACTGGTTCTCAATTCTAAACTCTCTGATGGTGATCACTTTCCTTGCTGGTATTGTGTTTGTCATTTTCTTGAGGACTGTGAGAAGGGATTTGACAAGGTACGAGGAACTGGACAAAGAAGCTCAAGCACAAATGAATGAGGAGCTTTCTGGATGGAAGCTTGTTGTAGGTGATGTCTTTAGAGAACCAGATTGTCCGAAGCTTCTTTGTGTGATGATTGGAGATGGAGTTCAGATTATGGGAATGGCAGCTGTCACTATCGTTTTTGCTGCCTTCGGATTCATGTCACCTGCTTCACGAGGAATGCTACTGACAGGGATGATTATTATTTATCTTTTCTTGGGTATTGTGGCTGGGTATGTAGCTGTACGTCTCTGGAGAACTATCAAAGGAACTTCAGAAGGATGGAGGTCTGTTTCGTGGTCGGTTGCGTGCTTCTTTCCTGGAATCGTCTTTGTTATCCTTTCGATATTGAATTTTATTCTTTGGGGCAGTAAGAGTACGGGTGCAATTCCCATTTCCCTGTATTTTGTACTCTTATCTCTCTGGTTCTGCATTTCTGTGCCTCTCACGCTCATTGGAGGATTCATAGGGACAAGGGCTGAAGCTATTCAATATCCCATACGAACCAACCAGATTCCTCGGGAGATTCCTGCACGCAAATATCCGTCGTGGCTTCTTGTTCTTGGTGCTGGGACCCTTCCATTCGGAACCCTCTTCATTGAACTCTTCTTCATTCTTTCTAGCATTTGGATTGGCAGGTTCTATTACGTGTTTGGCTTCTTGCTTATAGTTCTTCTACTACTGACCATCGTTTGTGCCGAAGTGTCGGTGGTCCTGACCTACATGCATCTTTGTGTTGAGGACTGGCGATGGTGGTGGAAGGCTTTCTATGCATCAGGTTCTGTAGCACTCTATGTGTTCCTCTACTCCATCAATTACCTGGTATTTGACCTACAGAGTTTGAGCGGTCCTGTGTCGGCTATCCTTTATCTTGGGTACTCGATGATCATGGCAATTGCAATCATGCTGTCGACGGGAACCATTGGCTTCATCATGTCATTTTATTTTGTCTATTATCTCTTCTCATCCGTCAAGATTGATTGAAAGCTTTAACGTGGCGGTCTTCGTCAACCAGCTGGGGTACGTAAGAATGTGATATCTCGATCCATCATTTCAATTTTGGTAAAAGTTGCTGTCGGTAGATAATCATGTTACACTGTCAAAAATGCCCTCAAAATCATTCAAAGTTTCATGTTAATTTTGGTGGTTGTTCAGTTTAGGACTTGATAGATTTAAAAGTCTGATTATTACCAGTTATGGGGTTTTGCTGGATTACGCGTATCCCTTTCTTGTTCTAGTAAGGTTTAAAAGTCTTGAGTAGCAGTTATATGTTGGAAATCTTGTAGTTTCTCCCACATTTTTAATCAAAATATAAAGGCTTAATTTCTTCAATCACAACCATGGTTTATGATGTATTTAACCATTTGTTCCAAATTGATAACATTTAGTGTTATGATGTTTTTAACATCTTAGACAATATACATATTAGGTAGCTTTGGTAATATTTTACTAGAAGGTGAAGTTATCTATGAAGCCAGGGACGACGTCGGACTTTATATTAGAGAAGGTAGGTGAAGTTATAAAATTTTAAGAAGAGCAAAAATAGATTTTTAGCATAAAATACAGTGAAAATATCTAAGAAAACTCCTATTCCTTAACTAATTCAAGGCATTTTATCAAGGGAAAAACTAAATACTATTTTACGTTCTTACCTACGAACATGCATGAAGAGTAACAAACGGTACTGTTATTTTAGTCTTATGCAAGAAGGATGCAGAGTCTTCGAACTTGGAAACATAAAGTGAGTTCTGTCTCTAGTACAGTTTTTGCTTAAATGGTGCCTGGGGAACCTTGAACATTGTCTTATCTCAAGCAATCTCGAATATCGTTGTAGTTAAAGCTTAGGTTGATTGGTTCATCGTCTTTCCAATTCAATAAGGCTTCTATGAAGTCCTCATCACCTGGCTGAATCATCATTTCCAACTCACTGCTGGGAAGTGCAGGCAAACTTTCCTCATTTGAACTAGCAGGGTAGCCCTTCGGAGTCGAGAAACCTTCAGGTGCAGCGTAAAGAGAGGTTTGGGGCCGATATCCGAAAGGCACTTCTTCAATGCTAACATTGGCTTGGCCTGTTGGTGCATCATATGTAGGAGGACATAAATTCTGCCAGTTGAAATCAAACTGTGGCAGTGCAGCCACCATACCGAAATCAGATGGGCCAGGCATTGTTGTGAAAGTTCCTAAACCAGCCGAGGGTTGGCCGGACAAAAATGCATTTTCCATAGCCACACAGCCTGAATGGTGATCGGTCAGCGTCGTGTTCAGATGCTTCTGTGCATCCATGTACCGTAGATAACGATCCTGGGACTTCAAAATCATGTTTTTACATTATCATTGATGCTGCACAAAGAATGATATCTAATAGAAGAAAAGCATAAAAACACACAAAGAACATATAAGGCTTCCCTTTCGGGTTTAAGTTTAACTGAAATTTCAGTTTCTACGAATTCTATTATAAATTTCCTTAACAAACTCACCAGAAGTTTCTGTCGTCCACGTCTTTCCTTTTTCGATTTTCGACCTTTTTAGCTATAGGTATCCTGCATATCATATGCCAAATAAGCCTCAATAGAGAATAAAATCTTAAACCAGCTCATCAAATAGGCAAATTAGTACCTGCTGTCTCCAGTGGTCTTAGTGATCATAGTGGTCTGAGATTCGACCGAGCTCAAAGGTCTAAGACTCTGCGAACCTCCGTGAAGTTGAGAAACTGATATTATTCCTCGCATCGGGAATCATTTTAAAACATATAATCAGCTTCAATACCAACATGTTACTCACAAGTGGATCATCTTTGTTTAAACATAACCAGGAATGAAAAAGAAGATAGTTCTTCGTCTAGCCTCAGCTGATAAATTGCGATAATTTGTCACCGGAATATCTAGTTATTCTCTGAGATTTAGGGATGCCAACACATTTATAATTGTTTGAGTCTATTTTCCGAGTCTAAATTTATAGTAGGTATAACAATACATACCATTTTTGGAGGTATCCTGCCAATCCTTCACTGAAAATTTTCCTAGTCGAAATTTCTGGAGTTCATTAACATTAGTTAAAATGATATTCCTTAAGTCGGTTTCAAGTGCTAAATGGAGAAATGCTGAAATTTAATATAAAAGCTTACTTGTAAATGACTCTTAATATGGTAAAGATTGAGTCCATCTAAATCCATCAGGTCCAGAATAGCCTTCGGTTTTGCTTCTGCAAATAAGATTTATGGTCAGTTCATCGGATAATTACTAGTTTCTTCAAGTGCAAGGTAGCTTACCAGCAGCAACAGCAGCAGCCCTGTGGTAACTCTAAGAATGCAGCAAACTATAGAGGGAAAATATTAAAATAGTTGAGTTTTCAGAGCTGGGAAAATATAAGCCAAAGTTCAGTTCATGCATTAGGACTACCCGGGAATACACGTCAACCAAAAAATAAAAAAGCATGTAGGTTTATGTCGTCATGTAATTCTTCGGGGTTGATTAAAGGATTTTGTTCTACAGCCTAGTGTAATAGTTCATTCTAGAACAGAAGGTACTTACAAATGGAGCTCACATCTTGTTGCAAGGTTTAATTGCCTGCTAATAAGATAAAAGGCCTAAGAGAAAGGAAAAAGAAAGTGCATAAGCTGCATTTGTTCCCATCTTCAGACTTGTAGAGATGCCCTATTTCCGGTAATGTCACCGGTTATAACAATGGGAACAAATCCAACGCCATCGAAACATCCATGTGACGGTATACGACAAACTAGCAGTTGGTAATATCAAATACACTATTGAGGGAGTCATACAATTCATCATTCGTCATCGATGCCAGTAAAACCGTTAGTAAACGACAAAGTATTACATGGACGAAAAGTTCACGGCAGACTACAGGTTGACAAACATCCAAAAGCATCTGCAAGTGTTGAAAAGCATTCCTAGAAGGCAATGTAACAGTACATATGTACATATAGAGACCAGTTTAATATCTATAATAAAGTCGCTAATCGACAAATTTTTCGTCAGCAGCCATCAAGAAGCTATACAAACTCCCTATATTACCGTTAACTCGACCTTTTAAACACGCGTGCATAGAACGGTATAAAAGCATTTGAAAACCTAAATGATCAAAAGAATGCCTATTTTGAGCCAATCTCACATGAATTTATCAAAACATCATCTTTTAGAAACACACACATAAGGTAAGCAATGGGATATGATACGAATTTACACCTTGGGAGATGGGCAGCAGAAAATCATCTGTCATAGATGATTTCGTTTAGCGTCGTGTGCAGCATACTTATTGCATATACACTTATATTCAAACAAAGAAAGAAAACTAGCTGCATGCAGTCAAAGGAAACAGAAACTACATTATGGGGAAAAAGTAAGATGGATTGCTGCATTTTTTAATGCTTGAAACATATGAATTTCGGTTAAAGTCAGAGGAAAAAGAAGAGGAGATCCATTTTATAAAATAAGGATCAAAGAATTCCACTGCTAAATAATTTAATCACCCTTAAAATTTGATGGCAAATATGACATTTTGTTAGAATTCATGTCAACAGCAAGCAAGCAGAACTTAATTTCCAAACAAACAAGCATAGATATAAAGGACAAGAAAATTCAAGCTATTTATCAACAAAGATGGACATGATGCAATCATTCAAGGATTCAGGTGTTACATCTACTAAGAATTGATCTAAGATTTGGAGACAATGAAGTAGACTAGGGGAGGATGAACACTGACTTCGAGGACCACCGAGCCGATCAACAGCTTCAAGGAAGTACTCATGAAGTTCATAAGTCCATCGAAGGCGAGGCCTAATCTCGTTAGTCACCATGAGTATAGGTTTCTCCCTTACAACCTCCCCATCACCAGCAATAAGATCATCACTGATCATAACAGGGGTAGAAGGTCCCTTGTTTTCTTGTGAAGCAAGCAATGCGTTATGACGACCACACTGAGTTTGCTGGTCATCGTGGTTATCATCATCCACATTTAAATCACCTTGATGACAAGCAAACACTTGCTTCTCCAGTACAAACCTCTTAAATTCCCCTGGATTTGATTCACATCATCGTTTTCGATCAGAACACTCTTCAATTCACTCCATATCTCTGCCATTTCTCCCTTCAACTCTTCCTGTTTCGCTAAACAACACTGATTTACAGTGTTGCAGGCTAATCTGCAACAAAACCCAAGACTCTACACAAGATATAGAACTGGTAAAGTAAACGAGAACATGGCAATAAAACATGACGAAACCCCACAACAAGAACAAAACTGAGGACCCCACCAAGGGGAGGTTTTATTTTTTGGGTAAACTACATGTTTAATACATAAACCATTACTTTTATTCTGTTTTGATATCCAAACTTTATTTTTTTTCAAAATCATACCTAATGTTTAGTTTAGGCTTCAATTTTATACCCTGAACAACTAAAGTGGGTTTTTTTTAATTATTTTTTCAACTACACATTGTCTTATGGTGATACATCAATAGTTTTGTTAAGTTTTATATGTGGGTTTCAAAATGAAATATAAACTAAAGATTTAGATTTAGTATAGTTTTGAACAAAATAAAATTTAAGTATCAAAACAGAATAAAAAGCAATAATTTAAGTTCTAATGGCGTAGTTTTCCCTTTTTATTTCCTGTGAGGGCCACAGAGCTATATAGCAATGAAATTAGAGAAATACACAACGGCTGATTTGTAGTCATCTTGGTATTGGTAGAAAAGAAAGAGTGGAATAGAGGAAGTGTGAGACTTTAGAACCAGGACAAGCGAGGAGAGGAAATCGAGGAGCAGTAAACTCACGCGCCAAGTGTGTGAACAACGCTCACGACGGCGGGGATTGCATGACGTGTACGGTGGCGGACCGGCGGTGGAAAGTTTTCGCCTTTAGTTTGGTGACTCATTTGCGACGTGGAAGCAGGGGTTTGTTCGGTGGGTTTGGCATTTGAAACGCTCGCTCTCTGACTCAGTGCTCATTAAAAACCACCCCATCTTCTTCTTAAGTCAAAAAGGATTGATCCATTGGATCTAAGGAGAAAAACAAGAAAATGGTTACACAATTTTAACCCTCTTCGGATACTATCAAGTGATTTTCTCGTTGCCTGTTTCTTAAAGCAAAGTTTATCAACTACGAAATGGAATAAATAGCTTAGTGTGGTTCATTTTAACCATAGCTTTATTTAAAAGGATGACAATTAATATTATGCATGGGATATACAACAAAATTAAATTATAATTTTATAAATGTTTCTAAAATTATTAACTATGATTTCTCGTCAAAATTAAAAGAAATGAATCATCTAAGGTCCTCGTAACATTTATTATATTGCCAATAATAAATCAATGTACAAGAAAAAGTAACCTTAAATTTTCTCTCATTGCTTGTTCTTTTTTTCTTGTGCATTTATTTGACTGACGTTAATACTAGCATTAGTATTAATCGTCGACTGTTGATATTTTTTATTTTTTTTTATTTTACTTTTTTTGTTGGCATATATGCTTTTCGTTTGTTTTCTTTATTTTTCAACAACTCGTTTTCTCAAGATTTTTTTACACATTTTCAGTCTTTATCGATTGTTTGACCGTTCTTTTCGTTTAATTTTTTATAGTTAGATTTGACAGCACATCAATTGATCAATATAATATTTATTTGTTATCATGATGATCTTTCTTGTTTTAGACTCACATATTGGATTTTGTTACACGAGTTGTGTTCAGAGATAGTTTTTTCACGACGTCCGACTCTATCTTTGTGATTATCTATTGTTTTTCAATAGTTTGATCCCATATTATTGTACATTTGTTGAAGTAGTCATATCTGTTGTATCTATTTCTGTTCAAGTTTTTTTTTTGTTTAATATTTTTTTATGGTCATTATACGATCCCAAATAATTAATTTTGTGCATAAATGACATCAAAATATGTCTTAACTATATATTTAATATATGTTTATAATTATAAACCTTAATTAAAATTTTAAATATCTTATAAATAAAACTAACCACTTATGTTTACATAAAAAACTATATACATAATTTTATTCTAATAAAAATAATACCGACAATAAAGTCAATTAGTTTCAAAATAAAAAGTTTGACGGAGATAATTAACTCATCAAATATTAGGGGTATTTCTAGTATTATGCCAAATAAAAACTTAGGAAAGCTTTAAACGTGGGCTGGGCTTAGTTTTCATTTTTCCCTCGCAAAATTCCCGCTGAGTCGTGAAAACCAACCCACAACCTCTACTCTAACCCTCTTGCCATTCAAAAAAAAAAAAAAAAGGGGGGGAGAGAAAACCCCTCCACTCCAAATTTGGAAAAAATGAGAACAAAAACTCCAGCCTTTAGGCGCAGGCCAAGGAATTCCATCTCTCCTTCAAACGCCCAACTCATCTATCCACTCCACTATCAGGTATCTTTCCCTTCTACCTCCCCCCCCCCACGCTCTCTGTTTGTTTCCCGGGAGTCTACGGCTTTAGAGTGACCAATTGTGAGAATATTTTGTTCCTTTTTTCGTCTCATTTCACCTGATAGTCAGGGGCGGACGATGATGATAGCTTGAGAGGGTCTCCCCCTCCCCTTTTCTCAAGATTTGGGGCTATATAGATTTTTAATAGGTCTTTAATTTTTTAAATATTTTAATTTGACCTTCACATTTAAAAAAAAATCTCATTGAACTTATTTTTTTTTTAAATTATTAGACTTTCATTTAAAAAAAGAAGAATCTGATTAGAACTTCAAATTTTAAAAATGTTTTCTTCAAATCTTTTAATGTTTTAAAATTTTAATTAGGTCGCTCCAATATCTAGTTCCGACTTCCAAGTACCTCCACTGTTGATAGTTCTTTCTTTTGCACTATTATAGTATAATAAAATGTGCTTGTGTGCTGTTATTATTGTTAGTGTTGTAATAACTGTCTAAAATTCGACATGTATATAAGTTTTAACACCTTAATAATTTGTTATATATTTTTGACAAATTCACATATGTCACATTGTGTTATATGATCTTTTGGCATAGGATGAAGATAATGAAGAATATCATTTACATGGTAGTGACAATGGAGAATCAGAGGACGCTGGTTTTAGTCAAGATAATGATAAGAATAACGATGATGTTGATGGTAAGGATGATGCCTTTGATGATGACGCTGAGAAGGAAGGTGATGATGATTTGGTTCCTGATGATGTTAATGAGAAAGATGAGGATGCTAATTATGTAGTTCCAGATTGTGTTGAGGGGTGGGTGAATCTGCTGGAGTGCCTTGCTGATTGGTTAGGAGTGTTTTCCTATATTTCCAGTGGAGGAAGCAGTCCGGTCTTGGTTTGCAGTGAAAATGACTGCCCCATCGCAATGCAGGAGGCACGCATGAGTACTGAACCCGATTTTGACGATACTGGTAAATTCTACTGTCCTTATTGTTGGTACAAGCGAGTAGTAGCAAGGACTGAAGAATTGAGAAAGGAAGCTTTGCTGGCAAAGAGGGAACTGTTAAACTTTATACATTCGAAGCGGGATGATGGAAATGGAGAGAAGCAGGAAGATGAAGCAAGCAACATGAAAGCAGCTAGTCTATCGACATCAAGGAAAGAAAATTCTGGAGATTTTGGAAATGGTCTGAATGATGATGTTAATGAGACAATATATTATAATCAGGGGCAAGTCATGTGTATTGTGTCCAAAGGAAAAGAGAAATCTGTTGATGGAAGTACCTCCAAAGCTCATGGGGCTGACAATGTTGCAGATGGACAAATAATGCAAGAGGAGGATATAGAAACAGTGAAAATGATGCAAGTAATGAGGATGCTTGGCGTATACAATCATGCAACCCAAACTATTTTGAAATTGTGAATGATAGACACACTTTATTTATCAACTAATGGAACTTCTGAAATTACAGGTGTATTGGAAGCTAACCAAGGTAAGAACAGGATGGATGGACTAGTTCGGTCAAATACAATAGGAACTAGTACAGCACATATGACAAAAGATGCTACATCCAAGGTGCCTGCAATTGAAAGTTTTGAGTTTGTATCACCTGATTTGGAAGCCGGGACAGTTGTGCGTCAAATGCGCATCAAACACACAGCTAAGAGGGCATTACCTTGGCAAGTAGATCCACCAAGGATTCCCTCCTTTCAACCAGGTTCCAGTGCCAATGATAAGATGAAAAACCTCCAAGGAAAAGCTACAACCGCTAAAAACGCTTTCCAATGTCAAGAATTAAACAAGCAAATGTAAGTAGTTCATGATTTTACATTGTGGTTAAGGTGATATTCATTAAAGGAGTCATTTATTGTAGTTAGTGTTCTGATTCTCTGTTAACTCCTATCATACTTATATTACCTTGTTTATTTCATCTGAATTGCAGTATGAATCCAATACTGGGTAGTGGAAAACGTAAGCCATTACCTTGGACAACTGAAGAGGTAGACACGCTGAAGGTATAGCTATGGACACCATACTGTATTTGGTGCATGTACATATTAAGTTTCGGGATCTATTCAAATCGATTCATCCAAAGTTCATGTTTCCTTTTCATTATATTTGAAACATAAACTTTCATTTGCCAACTTATTAACTGCTTGGTAATGGCTAACCAATCAATTTCTTTTCTTTGTTACGTCAACTTCTTTTATTGACTGCCATTGTTTTGCATTGCAGGAGGGAGTGCGGAGATTTTCACTGACATCAAACAAAAACATCCCCTGGAGGAAAATTCTGGAATTCGGTCATCATGTTTTCGAAAACAATCGTATTCCGGTCGACCTTAAGGATAAGTGGAAGAAAATTATGGCCAAAGAGGACCCAAAAAGTAACAAGGGGACACTATTTCCTTTCGAGGAATAAGGTAATGTTTCAGGATGTTAATATGTCTGTTTTGTTGTAGTTATCTCTAACTAAATCAAGTTGGTAGCTGGGTGCCTGATAATGTAAAAAGTAGGAAGTTACTGTTCTATTAACTAGATAACATAAAATTTGCTTCAATTTTACATTTACAAAAAAAAGCTTTGTAAATCTGGAATTAGCATTCCCTATGGCCCAATTTCACTTGATTTGATGTTTTTTACTGTTATGTGGAGATACTATTAGCCACCCGAAACGCCATGTACCCTTGAGGATGGAGATGCTATTAGCTAACAGCCTTTTTTCGATAGAAAATATCTATAAAATTTAAAGAGAAAAATAACATTCTTCAAATTTACATCGATGAAAAATTTAATATTTTTTTCTATCTTTTGTTTATTATGAATTAGATTTTCGGGTCTTCGAAATATCGGATATCGAAGATTTTCTGGGCACCAGAAATGTGGCCTGTGTTTTGGCCCATTAAAATTGGGTACTCGTAAGTTGAGTACTTGTAAAATTTGACAACCTGTATCTTTTAGTTATACACTTGGATCATATTTATTTTATTTTTGAAAATTATATTATAGAGAATGAGGTCAGTGTTGTTTTTTAATCTAAAAGACCTATAAATATGATTTTTAAAAGACACGTCACATTTATAGAAATGAATGAGATGATAGAAAGAAAAATATGAGCTACAATTGATATTATTAAATAGCTGTAAAAATATCATCTCTTAATTGTTCTTTTTGACCCTCTAATTTTTTAAAATTTCATTTTAGTTACTAAATTACACTATCTCACTTTATAGTTCAATTCTCGCCAAATTCCACATATTCAGCTTAAAATTCACTGTTTAAAAATATCTATATAATTTTTCCAACCCAATTATACCTTTCTTCAAATTTTATAAACTTTCGATTTAATCCGGTTATCCGAATAATATATCGAATTTTGTCCTTTAATAGGCATTTATACAAACTCCATATCAAAATTCTAAAATCCACTAAAATAATTGTCTTAGGCTAAACTACTAATTTACATATCCAAAATTGAACTTTTGAAAATTTATACTTTTAATCCTTAAACTTTTATAACTTTACACTTTTGTCTCCAAACTTTTAAAATTTACATTCTAGTCACCAGTCCAAAATTTGGGATATTACAGCAAGGTTATGCTTTTGGGTGCTCAGCTACACCTTTTCAGTTAATAATGAGACTTTCTTTGAGTCGATGCTTTTATTTGTGATTTCAGGGTCATCAAAATTTTGATTCCATTTAAAGAAATTAAATTTTTCGATTTGATTTTATTTTAACTAGACTATAACCTATATGTAATTTCATAATGAAAATTTTTAAATATAATTTGAGTTAAAAAATAAAATTTGAATAACTCAAAATTTTAGTAATTGTTGGATTAATTTTTAAGTTTGAATCGAATCTCTTAACTATGTAGACATATGTATATCACATAGAAAAAATTGAATATATATATATATATATGGTGATGAAAAGTCGTTTAAATTGGAATTAAGTACTACCATAATATAATAAATAGTTGCAATTATATTTAAATAAAAACACGAACAACTCGGTTTCGACTCAAATTTCATAAACTTGTATAAAAAAATTAAAATAAATTTTGAATCATAAAACAAAACTCATCAATTCGATTAACTTAAAAGTTTTAACTCAACTTAATTCAATGCATAAAATATAGAGCTTGGCATCATTACCATTACTCTTTGACAAAACCAACATCAACTCATTGCTTCTTTAATAAATGAATTCTCCTTGTGTTAACTTATTAAGAGATAGGTGCACATTCCAATATAAATACTTATTTCCTTTTAAAGAAGGACAAAATGGAAAGCAGCCCATTATTAAGGGAATTTGGTTTCATTAATATAATGTCATTTAATTTTCTGATGGGGATAGATTAACTCGTCTATCATCAGTGATCACCCGTCTTAGTTTGGATAATAAAGGCAGTCGTTGGTTAGTAATGCTCTATAAGAGGGAGGAGGAAAAAGGTGGTGGATGATAAGGAGAGGGAACGAGAGTCTTAGCCTGTCATGGCGGCAGCTTTTATATGAACACTGAGCATAAATGTGGATGGCTTGAAGAACCCATCGACATTATCTTTCCCATGCTAAAAACAACACAGTTTTGAGCAGTTGAACTTGCTCGAACGTAACATGGCAGGTTGAAATCAGTGGCCTGGCTGGCAGCGTGTCCCGATCGATGAATCTTTTTATGGTAATGCAGAACCAGGCCTCGGCGATTTATTCATGGTGATTTTGTATCCAACATCTGCTGATAAAACCTGGGGCCCTGAGATACAACCATATATAGCCTGTCATTTAACTAGTTAAGAAAAGAACGAAAGTCGAGTCGAGCATCGATTTCTTCATTTTAGGCAAGAATAATAAATTCTTCCAAACTAACATTATGTGTTTCTTTCCTTTTTCTAAGCATGGGTAAAAAAATTGTACTCTCAGCAGCTTCTGGTTTGGTTCAATGGATCATAATCATAGGCATCACCAGCTTTGACAAAGCGTCCCTTCACTCGCTTTCTCACATCGGCCCTTGCTTTGCGAGAGGCATATCTCACTCGCTTCTCAAACCTATCATTCAACAACGAATTAGAAGGAAGAACATCCGATTTCCAAAATTTTGTTAAGCAAGAAGCACTAAACTCACAAATGTAGATTCTATATGGTTTCTTAGTGTACACTTACTTCCGTGTCTTCTTCTTTTCCTTGTAACGCATGACAGCATCGTTTCGAGTTGCTGATGGGAAGGAGCTCTCAGTACATGGCGGACACAAAGGAGGCTCTCCCATGAAAAGCACTGGTGAAGCCCCGCAATCTTGATAATCTCCAGCACTGCTCTCTCCAGTAAGGCCAGAAAACGAGAGGCTTGAATGAGCATGCCTTGCCGTAAAACACAGAATTGAATCGGTTTTACTGCTCATCAAGGAATCAGCAGATGCTGCATTGTTGCATGCTGGCTGGATTGCATTGACCAGTCCAACAGAGGAGGCCTGGACAAGGATGTTATAATCATAAGAACATTTTCCAAATACAACTTGAAATTCTCAGGCATTATGACTGATTCTGTAGAGTATGACTCCGAATGAAGATAAAATAACAATGTTCATAAGTAAACTGGTAAGACATACATTTTTCACAAGAAACTTGAATTGTTAATAATCAAGACACTGAAAGATCAAGTAGTAGTGTATTTGTAAACTTGCGGAATCCATAATCTCATCACCTCTAATGGTTATATAATCAACACTTTCAAACGTGGAATATTTTCCTGAAAGTAGAAGGGTTCCTTTTCAAAATCAAGCTTATTGTTCTCCTCTAGAAAACCTTTTTTTTCTGAAAGATCCTCTAGAAAAGACTGAAACAAGTAAAAAGGGATAATTTCCTTCAATCATTATTCAAAACCAAGACCCGGCAAATGGAAGGACAGTAAACTTCATTTGGAAACATATTCATGTCTGAAAATCGAGGTCATTGATACTATTGTTACCCTGCCAAAACGAATAATTTGCTTCGAGTAACAGAATGAAGAATCTAGTACAAACTGTATTGAAAATGTACCATGCCCACAACTAGAATTCATCAAATTAAAGCTTCTTACGATTGTCAATTTATCCCTGTTTTAATTTGAATAGGAATGCTTCCATTTACACAAAAAAACTAATAGCAGAAATATGTTATATATCATAAATACTAAGAACACCATGAAAAAAGTATAAAACTGGAAATATCAGAGAAAGATAATACAGATACAGCAAAGGAAGAATAAAAGAAACGAACTAACCTCAGCAGGCACTTCAAAATTGGAATCAGCAGCAGATGTGTCTTTTGTCCCAAATAAGCTATCAATTCCACCATTCTCTAGAACTTCTTCTGAATGATTGAGAGTTGCCCCAAAGAGTTCTTCATAGTTTTCAAGGTTCAGTTCGACTTCATCCATGTTGAATTCATCATACAGATCATCTTCACCAAGTCCGGGACACTTTGTTTGAGGGCAGAATAACTGCAAATTAATAAAGTATGAAATTAAAAAAAAAAGGTTCCAAAAAGGAACATATTATCTCTACTAGTAATTAAAGGAAACCCACTATGAACCCATGGCAAAAATAGGAATAAGATGTAAAATATAACCTAGGACCAGATTATTGAATTAGTAATTTTACTTTGAAGGCCTTACTGAACAGTTATATGTACACAAAAACTTGAGTTACTTTTTGGCCAAGAAATAAAAATATCTAAAGCGATCACTAAACAAAAACAAGATATACTCAGGTTCACCGAAAGATTGAAATCTTGTACATTTAAATGAAAATCCAATCAAGTTCAATAAAAATATATTCTGGATAGACTTCGATTCCATTATAAATTGTAACCATGAAAAGCAAGGTATGGAAATTGACATAGTGTTGTTCTTTCACAGGAAAAACTATCCAGAAAAGGAAATGGTCACTTTAGCCTCAAGCTGGTCGTCTGGTCAGAAGGTGCAGTTATCACCGAACACTCACTAGCAATATGTTCTTCATCATTAACCGCAGATTGCACGAAGCATTTGCAAATTTAAACCCACTCTTGAAATGATTTTCATAGTTCTTTAATATTGTTCCATCAAAGCACCTCAAGAATAGTGCATCTAAGTTTGCCAAAGATAAATATTCAAAGTTCACCATTTACCTTGGTCAGTGATGCATTTGTTGATCCAGCTGGCTGATCCATAAGTTGTGCCGCAGATCTGATTTCAGGAACTGAAGTCCCACCCCAGCCATTTCCCACATCCACGTTGTGATCACGATTAACTTCAGCCACACCAGCACTATTCGGGAAAATGGTATTTTCTGTAGGGCCCCAAGAAGTACTCTCTATGTTCTCAGAGATGCTCATCAGACCTAGTTTCTGCTCACAAGTAGATCCACCTGCTGAAGCTGATTGTGAAAAAAATGACCATATGGAAGAAAGTTCCCCAGATGATGGACAACCAGAGTAACAATTTATTGGTTGCCTATTATGCACAGAATTTGACGTAGAGGCATCATGACCAATCCAATCACAGTTCTGACAGAGGGAAACC